AACAAGCCAGCTCCATCACTGCCTCCCACACTAAGGGCACCTCAGCTGCTGGAATGAGGCTCAATGCCAGGAGATGCTCCCTTGAGGCAATCAGGGAGAGCTTCCTGCACCTGGGAGTTGTTCCCTCACTTACCCAGCCCTTGTAGGTGCCTCCAATCCAGACCTGGGCTTGGTTGAGCCCCTTGGTCATGCACTGAATGCGATGGTTGGAGACGAAGTTGTGGATGGACACAAGGCTGCCATGGTAGCACTTCATGCAGGCTTTCTGCAGAGAGAACAGTTGGGGTAGAGAATTCACTATGTGTTTTCTCAAGTCCCTAAGTCTCCAAGAGAGAATCCGCCTACCCATCCCTTGTCAAGTCAGAAATCAGTGATCTACTTAATTCTCTCAATCCCATCTCTTATTCCTTTACCTGTCATCAGGAACTTCTTGCAGGAAATAATCAGGATACTCAGGTTAACCATAACAACCATTTATTGAGAGTTTACAATGACCCAGAAACTATTCCAAAGTCTTTCTGTGTACTCTCTTATTGAATCCTCACCACAACCCTAACAGATTGGTGCTATATATCTCCATTTTACAAAGGAAGATACTGAAGCTCTGAAAGATGAAGTGACTTGCCCAGGTAGCACACTCAATGACAGGTGGGACCAGGGTTTAACACAGGTCTATCTAATACCAAAGGCTTTTGTCGAAATCAGTGGTTCTCAAAGTGTTGTCTCCAAACCAACAATGTCATCATCACCTGGCAATTTTCTACAAATGCAAACTCTCAGGCCCCTCCCCAGTCTTGCTGAGCCAGAAATCGATATTTTTGCAAGACCTCCAGGAGACTAATGTACGTTAGGTTTTGAGAAACATTCATCTAAATAAATACGTCCCAGTAGATTGAATTCACTCCCATCTCCCGCTTCTGCAGTAGCCTCCCTGACACGTACCTCAGCTCCAATAAATGTCTTGGGGGTCCGCACCAACCGGTAGTGGCAGTTCGTGCACGCAGGACTGCCCAGCATTTGCACTGTGTCCTCTTCCCTGGGGCACTGAAAGTTCTCTTCTAGGTCACTTGGGTCCGACTCCTCATCCTCCTCGTCTACCTCATCCTCCTCGTCCTCGAAGGCATTTGGATACCAGGAAGCCTTGTCCGCCTCTCCCTCTGACTGAATCACATCCTTAGTCAGGGCCAACTCTCCC